GGGGGGGGGGGGGGGGGGGGGGAGAGAGAAAGAAAGAGAGAGAGAGAGAGAGAGAGAGAGAGAGAGAGAGAGAGAGAGAGAGAGAGAGAGAGAGAGAGTTATGTCGCACAGTCAGTGATGTGTCGCTTGGGTGTCTGCAGAGACTCAAAAGGAGTTTTGGTGTAGAGAATTCTGAAAGGTCTTCTTTGTCATATCGTATGCTACCTTGATGTCGGTTATTGCTAGAATTCAGCATGAATGGGGTCCAAGGGGAATGCAAGATGCGTTCTAGGCTCCTACGTGAGAGCATTCAGTTTGACATGCTGTCGGTTAGCAGAAATGATGATGATGGTAATGATGACGGCGGTAATGATGATGACGATGGCGGTGATGGGCGTTGATGATGAATGATGATTGTTCTTCGCATTCATTCGAGGGATTAATCTTCGTCATTATTATCATCTTCTTCTTCTCCAAAAGCTTTTGATCTTGAATTCGTGATAACAAGGTGCCACTTATACACTCAGCTTCTCCCTCCTTCTTTCTTTCTTTCTTTCTTTCTTTCTTTCTTTCTTTCTTTCTTTCTTTCTTTCTTTCTTTCTTCTTCTTCTTCTTTCTTTCTTTCTTCTTCTTCTTTTTCTTCTTCTTCTTCTTCTTCTTCTTCTTCTTCTGCTTCTTCTTCTTCTTCTGCTTCTGCTTCTTCTTCTGCTTCTGCTTCTGCTTCTTCTACTTCTTCTGCTTCTGCTTCTCCTGCTCCTGCTCCTGCTCTGCTCCGCTCCTGCTCCTGCTCCTGCTCCTGCTCCTGCTCCTGCTCCTGCTCCTGCTTCTGCTTCTGCTTCTGCTTCTGCTGCTTCTTCTGCTGCTGCTGCTTCTGCTGCTGCTTCTGCTGCCGCTGCTTCTTCTTCTTCTTCTGCTGCTGCTGCTGCTGCTGCTGCTGCTTCTGCTGCTGCTGCTTCTGCTTCTGCTGCTTCTGCTTCTGCTGCTTCTGCTTCTGCTTCTGCTTCTGCTTCTGCTTCTGCTTCTGCTTCTGCTTCTTCTGCTTCTGCTTCTGCTGCTGCTGCTGTGGCTCCGTCGCAGCTCCTCCAGAGGAAACTTCTTCTTCGTCTCCTCCTCCTCCTCCTCTGCTGTGGCTGCCTCCTCCACTTGAAATGAGCAGCTCCTTCCTGGAATTGCTGTTGCTGGTACATATGTCGCTGCCACAGCAGAATTAACTTGTTTCGACTCTGTGTTTTTTCACGAATACAATATCATGAGGGACTGTGCCCGTCGTTGAATCACCTTGATTGATTCAATGTGTGAGCACTATGAAAAAAAAACAAAGTTGGATACGAGTTTGGAACGCTGACAACTGAATTTTCTTTCCTGTCCGCTTTTCTCGTTGAAGACGCATACATCTGGGTTTCCTCGTTAGCACAGAAGCGCACAGGCTCTGAAAAGCAACATTGCAGTCAAGTTTGAGACTTGCAAACTGATCTGATTTTGCTGGTCAGTTTGTGAACGGATTTGAATTTCTCGTCTGTTTTGCTTACTGATTTGAATTTCTTGTCCACTCAATGGATCGTGAAAAAGCTTTATTGCTGGCTACTACTATCTTTTTTATCACTTTTTTTTTTCCTTATATTCTTTTTTCTCCTTTATTTTTGGTCACTCGTCAAATGGCACTCAGTCTGCACCTGTAAGTTTTGCCCAACCTCTGTTTTACTTACTTATTTGAATTTCTTGTCCATACAATGGATTGTGAAAAAATCTTTTTTGCTTGCTATTACAGCGTTACTCTCTTTTTATCACTTTTTTTTTCCTTATATCCTTCTCCTTTGTTTTGGTTACACATCAAATGGCACTAAGTCTGCGCCTGTAAGTTTTGCCCAACTTTTGTTGATGGCCAGACCAGGGTTGCATACCTGCCGACCGCCGACCGTTTTGCAGCCGACCTGTACGGCGGATCGGTCGGCGGTCTGCCAACCAGTCAGAAAACAGCCA